ACTCTCCTCCAATATTTCATTCGGACTTGGCAGGAATTTCAACTGACCTATACCTTATCTAAAACCATTTCAACTCAATGGACACCCTATATGCTGGACCATCGAAATCAACGATAGAAGAGAATTCGATCACGGATCAAGTTGGACATGAACTTGCGGATACAGCAGCCAAGCTTTCAGGCTCGTTTTCTGGAATCCAATGCTGGAGAATTCCTCCAGTCACAAAAGGAAAAAGTTCTCGAGTCCCTTGGTTTACACGACTTGGTCAGGAAGATTGTCATCGGATCGATCTGTCTCCTGTTAGTGATTGCTGTTGCAATCTTATATATTGTCAAACAGCGTTGTTTCGAATACCGCTGAACCTTCTTTTCCGAGCCATAGGTAGCGTAACGTTTTTCATCTTCACCTCTATCTGCAGAAGGAAGTCTTCTCCCTCGTCCGCAGCCGTGAAAAATCATCGACAATCTCGGAATAACACGGTCTCTAATAGTGAGCCAATGAGTGTGTCAATTCAACTTCCTGCATGTATAAATGTACCAGCATCTAGTCTTCCAGCCCCCCATCTTCAAATGATAAATCTGCCGGCTGCGCCAATTCCAACGCATCATCAGCAAGCCGTTTTACCGTCTTCGATGATCACCCTACCTTCGCAACCTATGCAGCAATCTGCTAAACAGTTTAGGAATTTCTTCCCAGGTATCTCCTCAGTCCATCTTGGAAATGCCAGTCAAGTGATATATGTCCCGGTAAAGCTCGACGATTCCTCTATAGTAGCTCTTCTTGACACTGGATCTGCTCTAACGATTGTCTCTGATACAGTAGCTCGAAAGTTGAACGCTCAACTGTCTCAATCTACGATTACAAAAGGCATCACAGCAAATGGATCCATCATGAAACTACTAGGTCAATTTACACCAAATCTCACTATAGGACAGAGAACAATGCAAATCACTTGCTACGTCGCTTCTGATGCAAACTGCTCCTCTCCGTTTATTCTGGGCAACGATGTTATCCAACAATTCGCACAAACAGTGTCGATAAACTACCACTCTAACACTGTTTCTTTTGACAAGATTATCATCCCATTCACGAACCCCAACCATAACAAAACTATAACTTCCCCGCTCTTCCAGTTTACATAATTAATAACACGTTTACAACCACAACCCCCCCTTTTTTCTGATAGTGTGGCAGTAGGAACTACCATTACTATATTTCCTCGTAACTGGGAACTCTTCACCTCAGATGATCCATCATGTCATCTCCCGGACCAGGATCCAGGTTGGCAAAACGCTCTCCTGTCCTCATGTAAATGGCACCGTATACCACACGATATATTTTTAATTCCACTTCCATTCCCATTACTCTGTTCAAAAATACAAAAAAAATATAGGGCGATAAGCAGCTTTCCTGTGGGAATAGAAAATGCCTAGGGATCCAATATCCTCCGTCTACAGCAGTAATAATCATTCACAAGATTCTCAAACATATGATGGAAGCCCCGAATATATTCCCCCAGAAGCAGATTTTGCCAAAGATCTACCTCAGTTTCCTAATACAAAACAAACAGCAACAATCCAAGGTCAGATTAAACTCAACACTTCCATTCTAGATAACCGCAACTCAAACAATTTTCTATAAATTATTAAACACAATACCAGGACGCTTTTAGGCATGATGCGAAACCTTGCTTCGCTTATACTGGTCCCATTACACATCAGGGATAAATTCTTCTCCAACCTATTCCAACACCCCATAACAACGACCAATATGTGCCGTTGGGAGGAAACGGAACGGCGGACACAGCAACGCCAACAGTACAGCGAACATAGTCCAAACTAAGGAAATGTTAACAACGCGCATCATAGAACCAAGCACTAGCAAATTTGCTTCCCCTATAGTACTGGTTAGAAGGGTCCCAAGAAAGACGAATGGCGATTTAGTGTGGATTATCGACAAATAAATGCGATAACTGAAACTGAGACTTATGTATCCCCACATGCAAGACATTTTAGACCTTGCAGGCGGGAAAGAAGTTTATTCAGTTCTTGATTTCAAGAGTGGATTTTTCCAAATTCCTTTACTGGAGAAACATAAGGAACGCACAGCGTTCTCCTCCTTTTTGGGACTTTACCAGTTCACTGATGGCCCAGGGGCTAAAAGGTGCCCCAGCTACTTTCAGAGAGTAGCGAACAGCCTAATCCAAGAATTGAAATGATGTTGTTTCGCTTAGGTTGTTGATATAATAATTGCAAGCCAATCGGTCATTCGACACCTAGTCGACCTAGAGGAAATTTTCATACGTATAAGAAATTTTGGTATGAAACTGTCGTCGAAAAAAATGCTCGTTTCTCTAAGACAGAAACTGAATAACTAGGACTTCTAGTCAGCAAAAAAAAAACGGTACTCGATCTAACCCCAATCAAGTCGCGAGTATCGCTAAAATCCCAAGTCCAACTGACGTGGAAGCGCTAAAATCATTTTTAGGAGCCGCATCATATTTTAGACGTTATTTGCCGCGTTTTTCAATGATAGCTACACCGCTTAATAACCTTCTTGCCAAAAACACACCGTTTGTGTGGACTGAGGCCAAAGAACAAGCGTTTCTCACTCAAAAAAGCTCTAGTTGAAGCGCCCTTATTAGCTTCTCCTACATTAGGAGAACCGTATGTTATACATACGGATGCATCAACCACAGGCTTAGGCGCATGTCTGCTTCAATACAGTAAGAAGACGCAGGGAGAACATCCTATAGCGTATTGCAGTCGCGCACTGAATAGAGATGAGAAGAATTACGCAGTTATTGAGTTAGAAGCTTTGGCGATAGTTTCTGCTTTAAAACAACTCTATCCCTACGTAGCCAATGCAAAAATAACGCTCATTACTGACCACGCGCCTTTGAAATCGCTGATGCATAGGGCAGATTTGATTGGGAGACTAGCAAATAACAGATTGCTATACAAGCCTATGATAAATCGAATGTAGGGCAGGATAAGCATTACGGTTTCTGCGATTTCTCAGTCGCTATCCACTGCCTACCATCAATGCGATAGAAGCGCATTCGTTCCCTTATCTTGAAGAGATTCAAGAAACTCAGAGAAATTCAAGGTACAATCCCATCATAGAGTTTCTTACTAAGGAGCCAGAGGAGCTACCCAAAGAATTTCAAAATGAGTTAAAACAAAACCTTTCTCGATGCCATAACATTATAAACAATTCTCCGTATCATTAAAAATAATGATAGAGAATTATTGCTTATTCCAGATGAAAGCATGCAAACCAGCATAATTGCTATGTTTCATGAGAATCCTCTTCTTGGGTCACATCTAGGACTAGCAAAAACTTATAAAAGCATAAAAGAGAAGTACTCTTGGCCGAACTTGTATCCAGACGTTACAACGTATATCAATACATGTCCGAAATGCCAAAAGGTGAAAACACCTTCAAAAGGCATAATCAGAGAGGAAATGGGAACCTTCCCTACCCCGATGAGACTTTTTGAACGTGTTCACACAGATATAATTGGTCCGCTACCTCAATGTGAGGACGGCAGTAAATTTATTTATATAACCGTTTGTGCTTTCAGTAAATTTGTAGTATGTACCTCGACAGAAGATCAGACTACTGATACAGTAGTGAAGCACTGATCAATGATGTAATTTCGAAACACGGAATCCGAATCCATAACGAAATAGTTTCGGATCGTGGTTCGAATTATACTAGCGAGGTGTATGCTAAGATTAACAAAGCCCTCGGCATGAAGAATAAATTTACAACTGCTTATAACCACAAGGCCAATGGACAAGCAGGACTAGTAAAGGTGAATACTGACTCCTTAACAGCATGTGCGGAGGCCAGACACCGATGGTCAGATTTTGTCCAGCCTATCGTCTTCGCATATAACTGCAGTATTAATGCGACGACAGGTTACAGCCCGTATCTCGTCATTCATGGTAGACATCCAATAACATGGAGTGACATACTCCATGAGCTGCCTCAGCGTCACATCATCGCTTCGGATGACTTCGCTGATCAGTTCGCGGCCGGCTTAAACAACATCACAGTAGAAGTTGGAAACCCAACCCAAGGTTGACTCAATAGGGTCGACCAAATGTGACAATCAGCAGCCTTGTAGGGCGCTCTGCGCGACAGGTAATACATATCAACCGCGTAAAGTTGTATGCTCCTCGTTGTTTGTCGAATGATGTTTCCCACCAAAGTGCAAGCACAACCACTTTTGTCGATAAAGGGAAGATCATCTGATAAACAACAACCTCTAATCCGGCGTTCTCGCCGACTTCAGGAAAGGCAAACACACTTGCCACATCAGCAGGAGTAACAACAGCATAGGTTGTCTGTTTTACTACAAAACAACAACCTCGGGCAAGTTTAATTCCAACATATTCTAGCCGCTCGTCGCGAAATTTTTCCATTCTCTGAGTTGGCGGCTCAAAGAATGCTAAGGCAGCTCCTTTCGCTAAATTAAAAACATTAGCTTAAAAAAAAAACAAACGCCCTTGTACTAGTCTCGACTTAAAAATCTGTTTTTAGCGAGAGACTAGTATTGCGTATCGTCTTTAGAAATAATGCCAAGTGATTTATGTTTTTATCTTGCTGGATACAAGATAAATCGTATGTAATACATATTGAGCATTTTTCCAAAAACAAGACGGAAAAAAATTTATGAGAAAAAGGCTTGGGAGTGTCGTGAGACTAGGTGAAATTATCCGGTTGTCTAACAGTAGACTCTCGTTTCCTCGATGTCTTTTGTTTTTTGTATGCTCGACATTATTCTCTCATAAAAAAGTGTATAAGAATAACTGTAGGGTAGGATATTCAAATTTATGTATGTAAATTTCTTCTACACTTCTAATTTCCATATACCTTTTACAACGGGGAACCGTTTGCACGGTCTAATCCAATCCCTTGTTGTAAACCCAAGAGCTCGAGGACGAGCTACTTATTGAAGGAGGAAGTGAACCGCCTCTTTCCGATACCGATCCCGGTTTCCAAGATGAACAGGATCTGTGTTAATTTTTCCTGCGTCTTGAGTATCATCTCCTATGTCTGAAACAATTGTATGTTTCCCAGTGTTGTTGAACGACAGCGCTGTTGTGAGCGAAGACGTAGTTATCTTTCCGGTAACTCTCTGACCTCACCTGCATTTATCCATTAATCTATCATTTGGATCGTTCAACAGTTCAACATGTAATTTACCTCAATACGTACATCTGAGGACACTGGAATGTCATATGCTTGAGCTCGAGGACGAGCTCACTCTGAAGGAATGGAGATGTCGGGTCCACGACCTGGATGGGCGTGGCCCGAGATTACGGTTACCCGCAGAAGCTGGGCGCAATGGAACTGGGGCGAGAGTAAGACTCATTGCGTAGTGAGTTACCCTCACCATGTGACGGTCACTCTCCGACCGTCTCCACTCTCGTCCAAGCCCCCTTCACTCTCTTATCATGTTATAATAATAAATATGTATAGCCTAGAGTCTTCTGTAATACGGAAACACCGCTACACACCTTCAGGTTACAGACGTCGCGAACCTGTAATCTGTACTGTAATTATTTAGATTTAACAATTAATATCATTAACGGTAAAATTAGTACCAAGCTGTATAACAAAACGGATGATTTTACCTTCAGTGTTATCAGATTTCCGTATAGGGACACAAATATCTCTCTTATCAACAAATCCTCTGTTATATATACGGAAACTTTGAGGTTAGCGAACACTTGTTCGTTCTTCAACGCTTTCGTTAGCAAAATAACGGATATGATCACCACTCTTTTGAAAAATGGCTACGAGGAAGATTTTATTATTACTAGCATTGTTAAGTGTATTTATAAAAATAAATTTATAAGTTACAAGTACTCTATCGCAAATAACTATAGAAAGATAAATAGGCTAGTCACAGGTTTACTCATTTGCAGCAGTGATCAACACTAATTCCCTTCTTTCCACTGTACTTTAATTGATTTATTTCTGGTATACCTTCTCTTATACTCAACATTCTCTCAGTGGTTTTGCCGGTTTACTCCTTTTCCCTTCCTTCCACAAGTATTTACAGCACACTTCGTGTTATGGTATAATCTACATCAATTCATCTTGATGCATGAACTTTGCATGTTAC